GGTTTCATATCTGTTCTACCTTAGTGAATAGTTCCAGGTTAGCTTGAGACTGTACGTTCTGCTATTGTTGGATGAATATTCTGTAAGTGTTGATTAGATGTCACTGACGGAAAGGTTCTGTTTGGCTATGTCCTTTTTTTATTTTTTATTTTTTTTGCCAGCTGGACCTGTCAATTACTTACAGAGGTCTTAAAAACGCCAAAGAGCTGGGCAAGGTGGCACACACCTATAATCCCAGCACTTGGGAGGCTGAGGCATGTGGATCACCATGAGTTTGAGGCTAGCCAGGGCTACACAGTTAATTGTAAGCTAGCCTGGACTTCATGGTGAGACTGTGTCTCAAAAAAGCCTCCAAATATCACAGTATCTGAGGATATGTGTACATTTCCTTACAGTTCTATTAGTTTTTGCCTCACATATTTCAATGCTCTATGGTTAAGTATATTCACTTAGGCTTGTTATGTCTTTTTAGGGAATTGACTTTCTAAAGATCATTTTGCAATGCCGCTTTTATCCTTGATAATATCTCCTGCTCTGAAATGCGTTTTGTTTGAAATCAATATAGCTATACCATCTGTCTTGAGATTAATCTTGATAGTGTATCTTTCTCATCCCTTCACTTTTTTCTGGTTTTTAATTACATTCCTTGTAGGGAGTTGGGACATGTACATAACATATCTCAATTCTTTTTTCATTCCTTTTCCTTCTTCTTCCTCCTGCAACCTTCCAACTCTTGATCCCCTTCCTGTTCGAAAACGATCTAGCTTCCTATTTCCTATTTCTTCTTATTTTGCTTTTTGCAATCTGTGTATTTAAAGTGGACTTCTTAAATACAATATGCATTAGGTACATCTATTAATTGGTATATGTAAAACATTTGTACCTAAAGTGATTACTGATCAGAGATTAATAGCTACCAAATCTATAATCATTTTCTAATCTATGTCCTTGTGTTTTCTTTTTGTCTTTTTTTTCTTTCTCTGGTTTTAACTAAGCACTTTACATGAGTTGATTTTATCTTCTCTTTTTTCATATCAGTAATATATATATAT